ACTTGGCAAAGATGATGGAGAGTGGTCCCATAATTATTTTTTTTAAGCTCTTCTGCAGTGAAGACTGCAGGCCAGAAAATAGTTTTCGGGACTTCTAAATGATATCTATACAAGTAAACTAAATGGTTCTGGGGTGGGTGTGCTTGTGCATCATCCCATTACTGCATGGGCCCTGGCACTATTTTGGCCCTGGCCAGCTGTGACTCTCCCAACCCTGCATCTTTGGGGAATGGCATGGGGCAGTACCTGTGCCCTGGGGACAAATCAGCAATTGCTAGAGAGGGGCAGAATGTTTAGCTCTACAGCTGTGAGCTGTGCCACTTAGTGGAAAATGGCCCCTTTCTGTCTCCTTGCACAGTGACATCTGTTATGCTAAAACATCCTGGGTTAGTCTAATTTGTAAATTAGTCCACCTAAATACTACCAATATGGATATATAGACAAGGAGAAGCAGTATCCCTTTGCCTTAGCCATACTTCCTCCTCATATGAAATACTTGTGAGGAAGACCAAATGGGCCTTCATTCAGCTTCTCTCCAATACATAAGCTTGCTGATATGTTTGAGGATTATAAATGTGGCCTCAAAAATACATGAAAAAAAGGATGAAATGGAGAAAAAGGATGAATGAGTGAAGCATAAAAATACTTATTGCTGAGGAGGATGGAAGAAGCATTGTCCTGGTTTGAGCTAAATAGAACTAATTTTCTATTTAGTGGTTTTACTTTTCAGCTCAGTCTCTTTTAAGTGACTGAACTTGCTGAAAACTGGCACCATGTTTTTCCCAAACAGTGCTGCTAGAAGATATGCTCAAGGTCAGTTGTCTCATCATGGGTGCTGTGTCTGCGCCTACGGGGGGTAAGCAGACCCAAAACTGACCAACTAGGTATTCCATCCCACATACGTCATACTCGGTATAAAAACCGAAAGATCACGAGGGTCTTGTTTGCCTTTTTTCCCTTTTCTTTTTTCCACCGTTCCTTCCATCTCGACCCTTCTGTCCGTCTCGATCCTGCAGAGGCCGAGGCCTGAGCAGAATCCTGCTCGCTCATCTGCTGCTGATCTTGGTTTGTGTGTTCTGCATCCTGCTCCCACCTGCTGCTGAGTTTGGTCTGGGACTTTTCCAGTGCCCGGCTCCGCAGAGCCTCTGGTGACGTATTCGTCATTGGGGGGGAGGGTAAGGGGAGGATTTTATATTGGTTTTGTATATATATTTGTACATATTTGTATATATTTCATTATTTTCATATTTACAATATTATTCTGTAGTATTAGTATTATTGTTTCATTAAATCTGTTAGTTTATTTTTCCAACCCGTAAAGTCTCTCTCCCTTATTCTCTTTTCTCTTCCCTTCTGGGGAGGGGAGAGGGGTTAATAGAGAGCGTCTGTCCAGGATTTAGTGGCCTGCCCAGCCCTAAACCACGACAGGTATGTATGATGTTCACGTACTGCTTCCTTCGCTGCAGTATGAACATCCCCTGTGTGTAAACTTATCCACAGGAGTGGGGAACCCAAAATGAGTAACTGCAGTGATTTGTTTTGCACAAAACACAGGATAAAAAAAAATGAAAATCATACTTCTTGATCACCCAGGGATGGTTGGGTGCCAGCTGTTCTTCCTTCTCTTCTTTCTGTTTTCTCAAATTACTTTTGCAACAAAAAAATTATGGGATCTTTAGCCTTCTTTTATGTTCGCTTGCAAGCATGAGAAAAGAAATTTAGCCTGTAGTGCAGTCTTCTACCAAAACATCTCTTGGCAGCTGCTTGTAATGAAATGATTGAGAACTCTACAGCAAAATCCCTCATTCAGCTCTGCCTACAGTAAGATGTCCTTATAATTATTTTTCTGAGGCCATAAAATGTAATTATAGAGCTTTTGATTCAGGAAGATTTATACTGTTTTGGGGGAATATTCATCAGTATTTCATTGAAGCAGTATAAAAAAGGAGAGATTTTCATTTAGTGGTCTAAACACATGACCTAAAAGTTTAAAAAATCAAGACGTATCTTTTAAGTAAGTCACTGAGGCACTTACCTTTATTACCTCACTTAACTCAGAGTTGACCTTTTGTGGTCCTGCCAAAATAGTTGTGGCACTTAGCAGAATGCTATTCACTTCATCTATTTGCTCTTTTATTTTCTCATGTTCTTTCTAAAAAAATAAAATAAAAAGAAATAACATCCAAATCCATCTGTGCATTGTTAAAATACAGTGTTACCATTTTTGCTAAACTCATTAAAGTTAATTCAAAAGATGAAGTGATGAACGAAATAGGTTTTAGACAAATTTGAAGCCTAAGTTTTTCCCAGACATTTCTAACAGCTGCATACTATAATGTGAATTTTTGCATTTTCTTGTCTTTGTGAAAGAAATGTTTATTGTTTTAATTTATTAATTTCATTTTATATTACAGCATGAGAAATTATTGGAATGAAGCATTGTTCAGTACATTGCCAGCAGGGACAAATTAAACACTAATTTTTCATAGTAGTCTGGAGACTAGTTTTTTTTTCTGGAGGTTTTTTAAATCTACACTACAGTGATCTAATGTGAACAAACTCTTTTGTACAGCAACTGCCTTCACTGTGTGAAATAATGAAGATCCAACTGGTTAAAAACAGTGAACAATTGGGACTACACACTTCAGGCTTTGCTTCATAAATGTGAGACAAGTGGCAGCTTGGCACTGTAATTACGAAACAAGGGAACAACAGAAGAGGCTTTGTACATAAGGATCCCAGGCTGCTCGTAGGAAAATTCACAAGAACAGCACGCCTGATTTCTCTACTGAATTATTAGACCTTCCACATCAGCGTGAACTTCTCGTGCTGCAAATTTCAAGAGCTCAAAACTCAGCCACTGATGCTATGAAACCCAGAGGTTGTCTTGAATTTGCAAGATCGTAAGATTGCTCCCCAAAAACCTCTCCTCCAGAATCCAAATAATTTCAGCCATTGAAATGAAACCAGTTTGCTTCAAATGGTCCTAAATTGTTATCTTTGTTGTTTTCTTCCTTGCTGAAAAATTAGATGAAGAGAAAAATTCTAGATAGGACATTCTGCTTTTGCATCCCTTAATGGAAATTGAAGAAACAGAGAAAAAGTCACAAAACTGCTGGGAGGAGAAAAAAATTAGTCTTTTTTTATGCCTGATGGATTAACTACTTTTCTGGGATAAGAGACCTGAAAAATCAATTTTCTCATCAGTCAGATGGGATTTGAACCTAATACCATCACTTACAAGCACCCCCTTCCGTGCTGTAGGGGATAGGTCTCCTCTGAGCTCTCCTCTGGAGTGATTACTTTGTTCAAAATACTAGAAGTATTAATTTGAACGGAGCATAAGAGAAAACTTCTGTAGCCTTATTGCTAGGCTGTTCACCCAGCAAATAGGAAACTCAGTTTGAAGGTATTATTTGTGGAGCAGTTATAGAATGGATTTGTGGTTGATGATACAAGGACAATCATCTGCTCTTCCTGAAAAAATGGGGATACATTATTTAAAAAGGACCAGAGAGAAAATCTGGATGAGACATTATGAATGCACTCAACCCAGGGCACGAATGCAGTGCAGAGTCTTTAGAAATAATTGTTTTAATATAATACAATTACTTTTGTGAGCATGAAGTCCTTCCACATTCTAAACCAGTGCATAATAGGTGAAACAATACCACCACAATATTTATTGCAGCCACATTACATGGAATTTTAAGCTTCTTGGGGCTTGTTGTAATACGTCTTTCTAGTTCAGGCATTAGTATCCATCTCTTCCTTGACCTAATGAGACTTGGCACTTATTGTCACTCCATGAATAAATAACAATACCTTGCACTCCCACAACATGTTTCTTAGAACTGGAGAGTCAAACTCATCCTGCTGAGTGGTCCAAGATACTCATTTTTGGTGTGATGATTCCTGAATCTAAATTGTTTGCAATCTACTATTTTAAGCACTAGCAGAGATGGAGTGTTCACAGACAACAGTTATGATAAATGTACTGCATAATACCTCACGCTTTTGGAGACTGTCTGTGTTTTCCTTATTTATATCCTCTGTTTGTATAACATAGACAAGAGCTTGGTCTAATGCCTCCTCCAGGTCTGACAGCTTCACATCCTTCTCGCTGAGCTGCTCCAACACATCAGATACCAGAGATTTGGTGTCATTGTACCTCTCATGAAACTCTTCAACTTGCTGTAGCACTGAGAAAAAAATCAGAAGCCACTGATTAATCTAAAGCTTGGATTTCTGGCAAAACTTTCTTAAGCAACAACTTCTGTTGCTGTTACTCAGGGGACAGTAAAATGCATCTGTTAAAAGCTCACTTGAGAGATCATATACCTAGATTTTAATTTACCCTTCTCTTTTAAAAAGGAAAGATGCCTCTCATTTTAGTATCTTATTTTAACCTCCTTAATTCCTCCTCTCAAGTAGCTTTTCCTAAAAGAAACTAGACTTGGCTTTCCTTGCTCTTCATTTTGTTTTCATTGTCAGAGCTAAGCAGGCTGCTCTGGAGAAGCCCCTGATTGTCCTGGGGCTCTGACTCATGCTCACATAGCAGTGAGAATCGAGGTGCCGCCTTTTCGCATACAAGCAGTTTTTCTCTCTGCCGGAGTTTACTGTCCCCACGGCAGAGCTGGCAGCAGGGAAGAAAGACGTTCCCTTGAGCAATTCCAGCCCTGGCATGAACCTTCCTAAGCAGCTGTCGCTGGGGTGCTGCAGTGCACCGGCACACACACACACACATTTTTCTGCCCGTTATCCTAACGTGGCAGCAAGGGGCAGCAGAGACCTGGGGCACGCGTTTGGAAGCTGCAGCGTGTTTGGCACGCTGGTCGGTGCTTGCCAAGCACCTGCTGGTCCTCCCCAGGGGCTCCCAGAGCTGCTCAGCCCATGCCCGCTGCACTTCAACATGTGGGTGAATGGAAAATTAAAACTCACGCTCCTCCGCTGCATTTTCCTCCTCATCTGCATATTGCCTCTGATTAGTGAAAGGCTTATGGCGTTTGATCTCCTTCAGCATCTCCTCAGCCACACTCAGCTTCTGGGTGATTTCTTCAGGGCTCAACTCCTGTTGAATTGCATAGTATTTCATCTTGCTGCTGATTTCTGTGGGAGAAAGGAACAGATGGTCAATCCAGCACAGCTACAGAGAAGCAAATGCTGTGGAGTACTTTTCCTTTTGTGAATTCAGGTCATGATGATGGCAAAAGAAAGTTTTAATTAACTTCTAACCCTATAGTAGATAATTATTATGTTTAATCTAGTCTTACAATTAAACCTGTATATAAATCACTCTTTCTGGCATATGTGGGGGTCTCATCAGAAGAGGATTAAATTAAGCAGGCACAGGTTGTGTGCATTATTTGGCTTGGCAGTTTGTACAGGCTGGGATCATAATTTCATTCTGAGTTCTGTGGCATGTAACAGGCAAGGGCTTTTGTCCAGGATCATGGCTTTTAAGTGCTGCTGCAAAAATGTTATGTGCTGCAAAAATGTTCTGTTTATTAAACAACAACAACGACAAAGAGACTGAAGTAACCTTTTTTTTCCCATCTGAAGAAATCTGAGGCACCCTATAGAGGTACCATATGGCTTCTGGCCTGATACTGCCTAGCTGGTTTGGCAATAGATACTACTTCAAGGTTTTGGTCTCAGTTCAAGAAGCACTGTTGGATCCCTGCATCTGAAACTGAATTTACCCATCCCCAGTGTAGGCATTACAAAGTTCACCCACTCCTCACTCCCTGGTCTCAAATACCAACCACTGCCTTTTTTATGCCCTACAATGTGAGTAGCTTTGGCTTGTGTTCATCACTGCTTTTGTGGATAAGCAGTGCTGGCAAAGCCAGCGCTGTGCAACTGTAAGATTTTTCTAAAAAACAGGTGTATAAACATGTATAAACTGACTCTTTGGCAGAGTGTCTTTGTACACGGTTTCTTGCTGACTCCTGAGTTCATTAGTGAAGCTCTAAAGGCTCATACTGGGCAGTAACTGATCACGACCAGCAGCTCCATGGATTTCTTTTTCCCTTTCATGCTGGAACACATGTGTGTGTGTGTATCCACACGTACACGTTCCCTTCAGCAGAGAGTGGCTTGCCTTCTACAGGCGATGCCCTGTAGAAGAACAGTTTTGAGCATGGTGGAAATATTTTTATCCACTTGTCTCCAACTCCTTTCTGGGTGAACAAACACTCTCCTTTTATGTTCACAGCCATGGGTGTTACTTCTTTGTATGTCCACCTGATTGTGCTATTTATGTGCCAAACTAGACAAACTTCTGCTTTCTGTGGTCCCTTTGCTGCCCAAAAACAGTAACACAAAAGGCCTATGCACAGAGGTCAGCCAGTGATTGTTGACGATATATGAGGCTCATGCTGACACTCTTGGTCAATGACTGTAGAAATAAAATGTGGCAGATGGCCAGACAGTCAAAGGTGATGTAGCATCACGGGTGTGAGAAGGCAATACAAATGCAGCTTCCTATGAGCATGGTCTCAGGCTACCTCTTCTGTGTGATGGGATATGTTAACTATGTTTGTTAAAATAAAGTGATGGGTTGAAGCAAGGATAACAGTTCATATACAACCACTCTTCCTTATACAACTTGCCACAGAGCTTGCAGTGACTGCTCTAAGACAGAACTGTTCAGTTCTGTTAATCAAGTATTTCTATTGAAAAAGGGCTGTTTAGACTCAACTGCCAATCAGCCTTTCTATTCCGGTGCCATATACAGCTACCGTATACTGTTGGCTTTACCAAGGTCTGGGAAAAATCAGTGTGGTCCATGGCAGTATGGAGGCTTTCATGACGCAGGTGTACAGGGGACAGGAATGCTTCTGAGTACATTCACTTGCGGTTTTATTGCTTTCTGCAAGTAGAGAAGAAGTGGCTGCAATTGGTTTAATCTCAGTTTTATAAATCAGCATGACAATGATATGTCATAGATATTCCAGATGAAGATGATCAACTCCGACTGGGAAGCTTTTTTTAAGTGCAATTGTGCTTGGAAAAGTGTTCACGGTTGTCATTTATCCTTTGATATATAGTACAGTAAAAATTTATGAACATGCAAGAGGGTTTGCAGGCTGTAAATATAAAAAAATCTTTGAGAAGGTGTAAAACACATACATTTACAGTCAGAAGAGAAGCTGTGTTTTGAATTTTATGCTAGTTCTGGAGATACTTCTATTGCTCTAAGCATGCTGCCTAAAGATGGACTTTGCAAGTTTTATGTGTATCCCCTCATATTATATGGACAGATGAGCAGGACACTGAGACAACAGGTGACAGTTTGTCCCAAGATTTTAACATGAAAAAGCTCTTTATTTCACTCTTTTAATTTTGTGACATCTGCATTATCATGTTTAGCTCTTCTACTGTGACACAGCATCACTGTAATAGTTTCTGATGGTCTGCACTAGCCACACAGTTTACAATCCTGCCTTTCACTTTACTAGAGGCAATTAAAATAAACCAAACCTGTCTAGCTATTCATATGGCCTCCATTACTTATCAGCAGGATGGGAAGAGTGCATTTGCATGAATCTGCTGACAAGTAAGACCTGAAGCACTCTCATCTCACATCCTGTCCTTGTATTTGTAGCTTCATCCAGCCCCAATCTGACTCCGACTCCTTTTTTTTAACCACAAGTGTATATAAATACCTTGAGGAGCTATTCAAACAAAGACTACAAGCTGAGTTATCTTGAAGTATTTAATGAACACTTATTTATTATTATTATTTGCTCTGCCAAAGAGAGAAAAAAGAAAGAGAAGCTGTTGTTATGGGTGTCAGACCAAGTCAGCCTGTGGTGTCAGTTGTTTTTTAAGAGAGAACTTTTCACCATGGCATTGCAGGCTGTAAAAGCCTGATGTGTGGGTTGCTTTGAGAGACTGCCCAGGGGCTATGTCTTTTTTATGTTGGAGGTTTCATTAATACATGCTTGACACTGAGCTGAACCAGAAAGAAATCTATTTACCTTGAATGTTATCCCTCATATTACTGAGTTGCTGCACAAGCTGAGTAGCACGGTTGTTGGTCTCCATGGTTTCCTTCTGTACCAGTAGGCCTTTGCTGGATGCTTCATTTCCCTATGAATAAATCATGTGAGCTAGACATTAGATTTCTTTTCAGATCCATATGCATGTGTGAGGATGAGAATTGTAAATACACATTTTGCTTTCCCCTGATGAGCATGTGAAAGTCCACTTATCATATAAAGTGGTATTTACAGAGGTGTTTGAAGTAAAGGGCTGTCTTGTCGGTATTTTCAGAATTGCAGAGTGAGAGATTAAAATCTGTCCCATATTTATCCATCATTTACTGCAATCAAATTGCTATAAATTATGTACAGTAGTAAAACTTCCATCTGCTGAGTTTTCTAGGCATTCAGCTGGGGTGGCTCATTTTGCAGGGTATGGCGTTTCCTGAGTAAGCATACAGACTGAAAATAAGGTGTCAAGCTCACAACCATTTTTAGATCAGTGTCTCCCTCATGTGAGGACCCCAGCTCTGCAACGTGTTAAAAATAAGAAAGAGCATGAAAATTCAAAATGCTCTGAAGAGCATAGCCATACTCCTGTACAATATTACACTGGAGGCTGTACTCTGCATTGTGTTCCCTTATATGTACAGGAAATGAAGAGTTACAATGTCATAGTTACCATCTTTCCTAGAAGGTCACTGACTTTGGGAGTTGTTAGATTTAATTTTCACTGGTATTTCCCAGGAAGGAGAAAAAATATTACTGCTGTGCTCTCAATGTTTTCTGAACCGTGTGTGTGTATGTGTGTGTGTGTGTATACATATAAGTCATCACCATGTGCTTGCCAGTGGTAAGGTGTTTGATTCAGATTGGGGCTGCAGCAGCAAAAATTCCCACTGTAAAGTTAGTTTCTGGATTTGAGGTGCCAGAAGATATTTGACTGTTGATGTGCTCACTTCATATGTGCTTAATGCTGCAAGAATGGCAGAGGGCTCTGCTGCTGTCTCCCAGCCCTGCACCGCGCAGCTGTGCTTTGGCTGCCGGTCCAGTGCTAGAGCAGCCAGGACCCACAAACACGGTTTCACTCTGGGTCTGCAGAGGCACCAGGTGGTGCTTGAAGGCAGGGCAAGGATGGCCCATGCCACTGTCATGGGTGGGCACTTGAGTAACACAAATATAAGGGTTTATAGATGGGTTTTAATTTTTCTTCTATTTACTTGTTCTGTTAGTGTTTGCACTGTATTTTTTTATTCATATTCAAGGTTTCCTATGGATGCTCTTAATCATCACCGGTTCATGCTTATTTTAAGCAGCTTGTTGCTGTTTTTACACACATTTGCCTTTACATAATACTCTTTCCTTGCCAGATTTTTCCTTAACTATTGAACAAACGGGGCATTGCTGAGACAGGTTTGCCGATTGCCATGAGATTGGTGAGACAGAGCAGCATGGGGTGGGTGCTCTTGGAGACCCTCAAATTCTCACTGAGGTACAGAGGGCAGGAAGGAAAGGCACTCGTATGTGCCAAACACTCAGGATTGAGTACATGCTGTACATCCCAAGCAGACTCAGGAAGTTCCAGGTCACATTTACTCTTCTCATTTAGCAGGAGGATTTGCCTAGATCTGGTGCATTCGTCCTGCCTTCAGGGTTTAGATCAGAACCTTCAGCAACCCCTCAAACACAAGGACATGCATGTGAAATGCTCTGAACAGAAGATGCGGCACGTCTCTCCAAAACCCACTCAAGCCTCTAGCATGTGTTTTCCATAAAAGTGCTTTAAAACAGCAAAAGATTCAATATATTCAGTGTTACTACTGTGGTCTTCCTTCCAGTATGAGAGTCTGGGGCCATTACAGGCAATCACAAGTATGGAACATATGGAACAAGCATTATCATAGAATCATAGAATACCAGGTTGTAAGGGACCACAAGGATCATCCAGTCCAACCTTTCAAGGTAAAAGTATAGTTTAAATGAGCACCTTGTCAAGCTGACTCTTTAAACTGACCAATGCAGGGGAATTTACCACTTCCCCTGGGAAATTATTCCAATGTCTGACTGATCTCATGGTAAAAAAATTTATTTTGGAGTTCAGTCAGAATCTCTCCAGAAGTAACTTGTGTCCATTACCTCTCGTCTTTTCCACGTGACTCCTTGTGAAAACGGAGTCTCCATCTTCTTGGTAGCCACCCTTTATGTACTGGTACATGGTAATAAGGTCCCCTCCTAAGCCTTCTCTTCTCAAGGCTGAACAGGCCCAGTTTTCTCAGCCTTTCTTCATACAGCAGGTCTTTCAGTCCTCTGATCATCCTCATGGCCCTTCTCTGGTCCCTTTCCAACCTGTCTGCATCTTTTCTGTATAGCTGGGACCAAAATTGGACACATTGCCCTTTCTAATGCAACCCAGCATCCTGTTGACTTTCTTTACAGCTGCAGCACACTGTTCACTCATGTTGAGCTTGTCATCCAACAAGACCCCCAGGTCCCTTTCCACAGGGCTGCTCTCTAGCCAGGTGGAACCCAGTCTCAGCTGCGTTCTTGGATTATGTATTCCCAGATACAAGACCTTACATTTGTCCTTGTTGAACTTCATACAGTTCCTGGTAGTCCACTTGTCCAGTCTGTCCAGGTCTTCCTGAAGGGTGGCTCTCCTTTCTGGAGTGTCAACTACCCCACTCATTTTGGTGTCAGCAGCAAACTTCATCAGGGAGCTCCTGATCTGAACATTCAGATCACTAATGAAGATATTAAATAGCATTGGCCCAAAATTTATCCCTGAGGGACCCCACTTATGACTGGTTGCCAGTTAGAAAGTGAACCATTTACTACCACTCTCTGGGAACGGCCCATCAGCCAGTTCCCCACCTACCACACAGACCACTTATCTATGTTGTAGTTTGTCAGTTTTTCGAGGAGGAGGCTGTGGGGGACTGTGTTGAAAGCCTTGGAGAAGTCCAAGTAGACAAAGTCCACTGCTTGCCCCATTCCTGGTTTACACATGTATCGTTTGTATGAGGAAGGAGTCCTCTAAGCATTCCGGGAACTTGAGGGATGACTGGTGAACTGCTGTGTTGTTTTTCCAGCAGATATCTGGGTAGTTAAAGTCTCCCATAAGAACCAGGTTTTGTTGACCTGAAGCCTGCTTAATTGACTCGAGTATTGCTTCGTTGGTCTCACTGTCTTGGTTTGGGGGTCAGTAACAGATGCCTACCGTAAGGTCTCTCTTGAAGATGGCCCCTCTGATTTTGACCCAGACACGTTCAATGGGGCTTCCACAGTTACCATAGTTGACTTCTACACATCTGAGGTCCTCCTTAACATAGAGTGCGACTCCTCCTCCTCTTCTACCCTGCCTGTCTTTACGAAATAGCCTATAGCCATCAATCACAATCCCCCAGTCACGGCAGTTGTCCCACCATGTTTCAGTTATTCCTATGATATCATAACTTTCTGACTGGGCTTGGAGCTCCAGTCCCTCCTGTTTGTTTCCAAGACAGTGTGTGTTAGTATCCAAGAGTTCAGAAAACAGCCATACTAGTTTCTGCCTGTGAGATTATTATTTTTTTATTTTTTTTATTGAACACAACAATGACTGCAGACATTTTTGCGGTGTAATCGCATCTTAGGTCGATATTTCTCAAGGTAAAGCAGCTGTTTGGAATTGAAAGCTCCCCTCTTCTTCTGCGTTATAAACTGAACTGCATCTTCATACTTCATTCCACTTTCAATGAGAGCAAGTGCAACCAGGACAGGAGCCCTTCCCAGCCCTGCAGCACAGTGAATAGCGATACAGCATCCAGGCTCTTCCTGAAATTTGGCTTTCACCAGGTTCAGCCAGTCATCAACTATCTGATTCGGGGGTGGTGCTCCATCTTCAAACGACCAGTTCAGAACTCGGATTCCTTCTTTTTCGATAGGAGCTTGATCATAAGTGGCATCACAAACTCGCACCAAAGTTTTCACTCCATACTTTTTCAGCTCCTCTATGAACTTGCTGATGGTTGAATTGGTTGGGTTCTGAGTGATCAGGAAACGCATACGTGCAAAAGTAATTTCCACAGAGGCTGGACAGCTCATAACTGCAAACAAAAGGTGTAAGAGGCCAAAAAAAATTAACAGAAAAAAAAATCAATAACCTTGGAAATGTTTCACAGCAGAAAACATTATAAATACCACTAAAATGCCTGGGATTGATCAACTTGCTTTGACGTGTTTGTTCCTTAAAGAATTCACTTCTTGAAAAGCAAGTTTGCTTCAGAATCCACTTGAATTCCACTTCGGCCTCAACTACTGCATGTGGTATCCTTCAGACTCCAAAAACTCTTGACGACATGCAAGACTAGGCAGCCTGTTCTATATTTAGGCACTGGTGAGGCAAAAAAGTAAGGGCAGATTTTCTCTCCACTTTGTTTTCTTGATGCTTAGTTTTGCTACAGCCAGTAATAGGAATAGGAATATGCTTCCAATTTGCAGAAGATATCCTGTATACCTGAGTGTGTCCGCAGTGTCTAGAGTCTTCAAGGCAAAGCAATTATGGCACATAGGACCTCTGTGCTCGGCTCAGTTGACAGCCAGGATGCTGTGCTGGGCCTGGCAGAAGTCTGCCCTCATGCCCAGAATCGCCATAAACGTGTGATGTCTATTGCAACAGAACGCCCTGGGCATTGACACGTCAGCGTCCTTCCCAACGGACCCGGCACCTCCCACACGCTGGGCGGGAGACGGGAGGGGGCGGGGAAGGGACGCGGAGGCAGCGGCGGGCCCGGCCTTGTGGTGGCGGGGCCCGTGACGGGACTGGGGTTGAGGCTGAGCTGGACCCAGTCCGGCCCAGCTGCGCGGAGAGACCGGAGAGGCCGGGGAGCCGGCGCGCCGCCAGATGGCTCCTCGCGCACAGGCCACTACCTCCTCGCCCGCGCCCCGTGGTACGGCCCGCCATTAGAAATAGCCGTGGAGAAAAGACCGGGAGCAGAATCAACGCTGAATTTCTTTGTTCAGGGACAGTCACGCTGAGGAATGAGCTAGGCAATGCCCATGTAGTACTGAGGATGACAAAAACGCTATTATCCAAATTCACTAAAAATTCCTAGAATACAGAATGTATTCTTAATTAAATACTTAATCATCTGCCCTGCTAACAGAGGGACACTGAAGCATGTGAGCACTGCCAGATTTTCATGGGTACAGATGAAGGGGATGAGCTGATTTAATCAAATATCTCTTGAACACAGACCTGGTCTGTGTAAGTTTGCAGTGCCCCTTCTGCTAAGTAATTGCTGATGAAATCCGCCCAAACCCAAATTTTATCTTCCACCTCTCCATTCAGTCCGTCCCTTTTTTTTTTTTTTTTTCCCCCTGCTACTTGCTCCTGTATTTGAGTTTAAGGTATAATTTTAGTCTGTCTTCTTAAAGAATTGGTACATGAATATAAGGTCTGGCATTTTGCAGTAAGTATGAAATATACTCTAGTCATACTACAGCTGTGATTATCTCTGGGAATAACACAGAGTGAGGTATCTCACTAATATATACATCTTAGCAACTGAAAGACGTTTAATAATATCTCTTTAATATAGAGGAAAAGCAATTCTGAATCCTATTTCTTCTCTTAACATATATCAGTGTTCTTTTAGGATGCAACGAAAGTGAGCTGAGATCCGATAACCTAATTTTATAGCCTGGCAATTGAATATGGATGCAATATTTATCATTACAGTTGTGTTAAAACATATCTTGAATGCTAATCAGACTTCTGTCTCAGTGCGTACATGAAAAAACTTTTAAACTGGCAGTTTTAGAATGTATTTTTGACGTGTCTAATCAAGACTAATTTAATTTTATGAGAGCATACATGTAAAATAGATATAGTACAAATACTCCCAAAGTCAACCTGAATTAGTTTAGTGTTGGTTACTTTGCTTAATTACAAATCAAAATGTGAAACAGAAAGGCAGTGTGTCCATCTCAGATCAAACATGTGTAGAGGGGTAGGTGGGAACTCAGGTCCCGAGGAGAGGCTTTTTGTAATTGGTGACAAACCTCCAACCACATGCAACAGACTTTGGCCCTACATCTCTTCTGTTCTGGGAAGAAGACTTGATAGGTCATTTACACTTTTACTGCAGAGCTAAAGTAAAGTAGTCTAGAAATAGAAAGCAAAAATAGAATGTTCTCCCAGCTCTCAGGACACTGCCACTCTTGTTTGGTTGACGGTAGAGGTTCAGACTAGATGTTAGGAAACGTTTCTTTATCGACAGCGTGGTCAAACATTGGAACAGGCTTAAGAGGTGGTTAATGCCCCATGTCTGTCAGTGTTTAGGAGGCATTCAGACAACACCCTTAATAACATGCTTTAACCTTTGGTCAGCCCTGAAGTGATCAGGCAGTTGGACTAGATGATTGTTTTAGGTCCTTTCCTACTGAAATATTCTATATTAACCTCTTATGCCAGCATGTGAATATGACAAACAGTAGAGCCTCAGAGCTCTGGCAGGGGGCTATAAACAAACCTGTTCATCAAGTGTTGCTGCCTCTCTCAGGAGATCGTTCATTTCATCTGCAGCATCATCAACCTGGACTGTCCAAAGCATAGCATGGTTCTTTTTTTGGGACATTGCTGCCTGTGTGTGGGGGAAAAAAGTCAGTGCATCTGAAAATAAAATAATTTCTCTAGTGAGGTCAGGAGTTAAAATCTATAGGAATGGCATGTAAATTTATAGATTAGAATGACATTAAAAAATGAAATGTCGTAAATGTACCTGGAGATGTGTGGCAGTGAGGTTCAGGTCATTCAAGCGCTTTTGAGCTGCAAAACCTGTAGAAATGCTCAGTAAAGTTGATTTGCTTTCATCGATAGCCAGAACTGCTAATCGGATGTCATCTGTCAAATCCCAAATACATTTATCACAGCCTGGTAAGAAAAGAAGAGAGTGTCATTTTTCTGTAGTGTTTGTGTCAGTGAACAGCAAATATCTTAAATTCCCTTTATGAATGGGGCTCCTGCCCCATGGCTTTCCCTCTGTTTGTCATTGATGGATCCTGATGGATTCCCATTTTTCTTTCATCAGCCCACTTCAAGGTCCCACAGTACTGTCATGACGCTTCCAGCTGAGCAGCACCTTGTGTGGAACAATGTCCCTGTCCCTGCTGAATGCTTGCAATATCACCTCATTTTTAGTGACGTTGGCACCACCACTAAATGCAAGAGGCTTAGGTGAATGTGAAGCACAGACTCCTACAGAAGCTTTTGCTTGGTGTTGTATAGTCTGTATTCTTGATGGCAGCAGTTCCCGTAAGTTTTCCTTCTGGTTGCACTTCCAGGCACATGACCCCTCTTCCTGGGAGCTGATTTAGGAATGCATGTGTGCTACATGGTCTGCATAATACCACAGGCATAATTATACTTACTTTAAAAAATATATAAATGGTTACAATGTAGTGCTTCTAGAAATTCCCCGGGCTTCCTTTCATTAGTGCAGGAGAGATAATAGTGGAAAAACAACTGCCTGATGGATGTATATCACATTGTCTACAGCAACAATTTATATTATTTGTACAACTAGGAAATCAGAAGTGATACGCAGAACAACACAGATAAAGTTGTGATGGCAGTTTTTAGGGCCAGAAGATGATTTTGCAGGCACTGTGTCTCAAAATCTAGAGAAGTAGCTTTGGTAATACTTCTGTACCGCTCTGCAGTTTGTACCTCTGTATCACAGAGTTGGATGTGTGCATGTACTCAGTCAAGCAAGTGAGAACAAGTTTAAATACTTCATCAGTGGGGCATCGTGCGTATTCACATGTTTAAGTGCACAGTGGGATCAAGGGCAAGGTGCTGAGCCCACTGGAGAGCTGAGCTCTTAAGTTGTAAGCATCTAAATACAAGAGCAAAACTAATTTTTTGTTCTTCTTACTGATGGTTGGGCAGTCTGTGCCAGTAGAAACTTCAGGACTGTCTGCAAGGCATTCTCCAGTCTGGCTGTCACACATTCTCCCTCCACAGTTACATTCTGGGGGAAAAAGAACGGATTTTTGAAAGAAGAATCTTCATAATATACAGCCCACCTTTCCCCTCCCAAGACTAGTGAAATGTTTTTACATAGGATCATGCATGTATAGTAAAACCACAATCAAGGGCTTCTTGGACTAGGTTTTCCTTCACTATGTAGAAAAAGGTGTTTTTGCACTGTGGTTGAAGTGGACCAGATAAAATCTGAGAGAGGAAACAGAACCAGAAAGCCTATTCTGAAGTGACTTGTTCAAAGCTGCCCAGCTGGTCACAAGCACAGGCAGTGAGGCCTGAGTTGCCTAGCTGGGCCGCTGTGCCTCACTGTCTGGAGAGGGTGGCATTTTGGAGATGGTGGCATTTTGGAGGTGGCCTAAGGAAAGCAGTACAACTGAAGTTAATTATTAGTTACTTATCTTTGCACAGACCTATGGAATTTATCAGCACTGCGTCAGGCTGCCACTAAACGAGCTTTCCAGCTGTCAAGGATTGATAGTGGGCTCCAGTTGTATCATCAGTTTGAGCGTATCAAGAAGTAAATATCTCCTACCACTTACAATGAAAAATAAATGAGGTTTTACATTTTTTAAAACTTGAGTAAGCTACATATTTACTGCCAGCACAAATTACTTTTTAAGAAGTATATTTTTTAATCTAAAGTGTCTCTATCAAGGTTTAATTGGCCGCTTAAAATATACTATTTTAAAGACTAAAACCTTGGAACATTTTGATAGTATAACAAAAACTCAGGCAGAACATAAGAACAGCAGTGACTTATGTGGAATTATTTTTACTCTTGTGATTCATGGTTTCAGCAGAATCTCATGTAATAAAACTGTTTACTGCCATTTTATTGCAGCCCATTCATTGTTCTTATGAATTAACCTTGTATTTACATTCCACATTGTACATTCAAGGAATTATTAGGGAAAATGTGTAATACGGCTTCAAATTCAACATTACATACTAGCATTGGAATTATTCTGTGTAGCTTAGTGGAACTACTCAGTTTTTGTACCATTGTGAGAACAGGATATGGTTATGAATTTTGTAGGGCAATCGATATTTTGACCTCACCACAATCTGTATAATCTGAGTGTCTCCCAGCTCTTGGATTCACTATTTTTTAATTTGTTATTTCTTTTGTTAAGAAGTGAAAGAAAAGTCTCAGTGGAAAGCAGCGATTTCTCTTGACCTACATCACAGGACCTAGGATATTCCCAATACAGGTGGCAATATTTCAGTTACAGGATTCAAATTTGGGTGAGATTGGTGCTCAAGAAAAACAAATGGTGTCTTCTTATTTAAATGGATAATTCTTAATTTGCTACACAAATCCTTACAGTAAATTAATTTCAAAAGCAGTCTTGACAATTTTTCACCTACTTGTTTAGGAGGTACCATATTTTTAGTAGGGAATTAAGACTTTCAGTGCTACTGTGGTTAACCGGTGGAGTAAGCTTCTAAATTTACCTTTGTTTCTGAGGGACATTTATGGTAAGCTTTGAAGCATGTCTTAAGAACGTGTGGTTAAGAAATTTATTGAAAAGAAGCTGAAAGCTACTATCCACAGATACATAGAATTTGCCTCATAAGAAAAAAAAAGATCTTATCTGGATAGAGCTGGTTACTCGTTTAGTTCTTTTGCATTTTTTTATTCTATTTGCTCTTTGAGGTGTACTGTGGAAACCATGTACACAGATTCTCTTGTTTCTTACACTAGATTATTTCCTGTGTTTTTGTATATTAAAGAAGATATTTGTCTTATTTCAGAATCAGTATTCTTCTAAATAAGAGTTTCTAATTTCTTGAAAATGCCAAAGTATAAGCTTCCCTTGCAAACTACCCAAATAGTTTGGATAGCATGGGTGTTTTGAGTGATGCAGGAAATCTATGCAGTTCTGTCAAGAGCAGCATGTTGTGGTGTTTAGCAGAAATTAAGATGAAATGAGAAGTGTGTAATTCTCTGAAACATAATACTTCAAAGTCGGGATTTGCTAGAGTCAACTACAAGACTAAATTCAGTCCTAGATAGAGAAAATCTGTACCTCTCACAACATTTTCAAGTGCCCAGGCACTTTTTATTTTTAGCAAAGATCACTCCAAGGGAGTCTGCTAACAAAGAGAATTACCAAGCAGATTTCTAGTCTGCATGAAATAGTCTTGCATAATCATAGAATTGTAGAGTTGTTTGGGTTGGAAAGGACCTTGGAGATCATCTAGTTCCAACCTCCCCTGCCTGCAGGGACACCTTTCACTAGACCAGGCTGCACAAAGCCCTGTCCAACCTGGACTTGAACATATCCATTTTACTAGGCCCTGGAAGTACAGTAATCTCTGGCATGCAAGTACAGTAACCAGCAAGTTGACACAGACACACTGGAGATGCAGCACACATTATCAGTGGGAAAACTAGCAGAAACTGAGCAAGGATTGGGTCAGGACAGGAAGGACAATCCTGTTCCCATTAAAAATGCTTTCAAGTCTTTAAGTGCCATCAGTCTGAGTGGTCATGTTGGGTGGCGTGTGGTGTGAACAAAGGTGAAGAGACTGCCCAAAGAAAGCTTAAAGACACTTATTTAAAGCAAGATGCAGGACACAACAGAGCCTATTTTTATCCTGTCCATGTGTTTGTGGTGTTGGAGTCTGGGGTCTGAGACTTCCTCATGGG